CTAAATGCTTAATGCTGACATGGCCTTGCATAGGAGACGGCATCCCATGCCGGGAGAGGGCTCTCAAACCAACCTCTTTAGAATTAGTTTCGCCATGTCCCTCTCTATTCCTGGGACCCCACACATATAGTTCTGTCCCTTAACAAACTCACCAAAATTAGAGTTGCCTTTGTGTAAACTAGCATTACAGTGTGAGATCTGAGGAAAGATGAGGAGACAGGAAAGGTCTCCATCCACTGAGAAATTACCTACTCCCCCCATTTAGGTGCTTAAGCCACGATAAATCTCTACAGAGATATATATCTAATATCCTCTAAATCTATCTTTCCCTATATACCATATATTGAAACATGGAAAGAAAATTGTATTAGATTGTGATTCCATGGAGTAAGAGGGACAGTTTTGAGATAGAGGACGCACTCCACACCTGGAAGAAGGTATAGCTTGGGCTCAAATCCCTAAGGGACTTGACATCCATACACTCTGCTAAGAAAATGCTAGGAGTTAGCTCCTTGCAACTCTGAGAAGGTCAAGGCTCTGGTAGCTTAGAGCCAAATAGGCAGTAAATCTGAGTGTGCTGTGTCTTAGCCAGCCCTCCCCCCAACTTTTTTTTGCGGTACCAGGAGTTTGAACAAAGGGACTACATCTTAAGTCATTCCCTCAGCCCTTTTTTGTGAAGGGTTTTATTTATTTATTTATTTACTTACTTATTTTTGAGATATGTCTTGTGAACTATTTGACCAGGCTGGCTTTCCAATGGCGATCCTCCTCATCTGTACCTCCTGAGTAGCTAGGATTACAGGTGTGAGCCACCGGCACCGGGCTATGTCTGTGTCTCCTTTTTCCACCACTGTTCTCTCTAGAGTTTGGTCCCTTAAGGAGAGTAAAAAGTCAGGCCTTTTGCTCTGGAAAGTCAGCCTCATAGTTCTCACAAGTTAACTCTAGAAATTTACACCTTTGTTTGCCCTCCTTTGCCCTCTTAGATTCTCCTTAAACATTACCTTGAACTTGGTTTTATTAGTTTTCCATTAATCACACTGCCACTTTCTTGAAAACCCCTGATGGCATTACATCTGCTAATAATTACTCTATTTTCTAAATGAAAAATTGAGGTTTTAAATTATTTAATTGCATGTAGTCTTATAGATCATGTACCATGGAAATATTTTTTACTATGTTCTTTCCTAAATCATATCAATATCCTGAGAGACATAAATTTCCCAGGTGATTATGATACTCAAAATGCTTTGGGAGATAAAGGAGAAAGGCAGTAAAATATATATAAAAGGAGAAAAAAGACTACTTTTGCAGTTATCTCCGAAGGGGCAGTGGCCAAAGTGAAATCTATTGCCTTTGTGACTTCTGACCCAAGAAACAACCCTACAAGGCATTTCAACACACCTTCCCACATTCACAAGGAGATTATGTCTTCCCCTCTTTCTGAAGAGCTAGGATAGAAGTTCAGTGTTCTATCCAAGCCTGTCAGAAGGATCATGAGGTTTAGGCTGTGCAAGGATGCTATAAAGTTCCCCAGAATGGCAAATAGTTCAGGTTTATAAGAAGAAATATATCATCTATGTTGAATGGGTATAGCAGGAAAAAGCTAATAACACAACTTTCCATGTGGATTTCACCACTTCAAGGTGGTTATCACAAGGCCAAAACTGGACAAAGACTGCACAAAGATCCTGGAACAGAAAGCCTATTCCCATCCAGTAAGACAAGACATAGGGAAAACATAAGGAAGAAACAATTGAGCAAATGCAGGAATGAAGTAATCTTATATACAACTGTTATTGAAAAACTGAGTAAATAAAACAAAAATAAGAAAGTCTTCCTAACCTTTTTTCTGGGTTGCTTTTTTAGTTATTTGAGTCATGATACAAAAAGATCTTGAGGTGTGTATATAGGAAAGTTAAACTTCCTGCTTACTGGCGTTATTGACATTCCTTATGAGTTCACAAGCTATAGAAATTATGAATGAAGAGCAGATAAGAGGTACTTTAACTAATACCAGAAATAATCTCTAACCCTGTGATTGAGAAATCATTTAGAAAAGCCTGCATTTAAATTTTTTTAAAAACATGGAGCTTCCTGAACTTCACAGACTATTGATGTGTACAAATTCTTTTATACTTTGTAACTACAATTAATTTTAATATACATTGAAGAGCAGTTGGAAATCTTGCTGACTGCAGTTAAACAAAATGACATTTGCATATACAAGGAAATTGCATTCAATCTATAAAATAGCAAATAGTACTTTGATGGAAGGTGAATTTTAAATAATGAATAAATTCATAACTGGAATATTGTTTTTTAAATATTTCAAAATCCTCAGTGCTCATGTAGAAATAGAAACACAAAGGATATACACTGTTCTCATTCCAGGCCAGTATTGTTTCTCCACTACTTGGAGCATTAAATGCATTTTTCAATGAAAGGGTCCCCAGAGTCCTCAGCTTGACTCTTGGAGTGATCTGCAATTCCTCCTTGTGCTAACTAGTTTCTGACCCCTTAGATCAAGTGTCTCATCTTCTTAAGATACCCTAAAAGGAAAGGAGTGGGACTCATTATGCCAACTTTCCCAGGATTGTCAAGGGGTGGCAAGGTGTGTCACATCAGTGGCCTGGCTCTATGCGGCCACAGCTGTTCTGGAAGAGATACTACAATCCTCATTTAGGGTCATCAGCTTGACTCTCATTTGGGACAAATATTCCATCTTCTGCTCAGTGGGGCTTCTGTTAGACCAAGGGACTCATCATCTCAAGCCTACTCCAGGATGAAATAAGGGAACACCTCATCCATTAGTTTTTCCCTGAATCTTCTAGAACTGACAGCAGGGTAAGAACACTGTACATTCCCTCTATTATTGGGTGAAGCCAGAGGTCTAAGTGGTAGAGAACCTGCCTAAGAATCAAGAGGACCTGAGTTCAAACCCCAATATCACCAAAAAAATTAAAGTCTAAATGGGATTCTTAGTTTATAGGTCTTCCTGGGGCCCTGTAAGTCTCACGGTAGTTAGGGATTGAACTTTCATTGATACCTATCTTTTGGACATTGACCAATTCTTTTTTTTGGGGGGGTCCTCATTTTGCTTCCTTTTCTTTGATCAAAGACAGAGAATTTAACACATGCTGCATAAAATAGAGCAGATTCCTTACTGCAAACTTTGCAGAGAATGAATCCCATTCCCAGGTTCCATGTGAGATGGAGAAACTGTAGCACAATTCAGGAGGCATGGAACAGGTGCTCTGTTAGAGAAAAAATACACTGATCCATTTATTTGATTCACTAGCCAGACTTAGTCTATTGCATAATTTTGCGTTGCATGGATTTACCTTCTCCAGGGAAAAGTCAGAGCAGGATGAACTTGTGAACGCTTGATATTTTTATGTTTTCTGATATTGTATGTTGATAATAGTACTGTCACTGAATATTTTTTCTGTATTCACACTACACATTTATTCAGCATTATTATTACTCTAGCTGTGTATTCCAAAGCAATCTTGGTCCAAAGTTCTTTTTATCCTTAGACATAATTTTGGGAGTGATGAGAAGAGAAATCAATTTGAAGACACAAGACCTGGCTTAGGCTGAGAGGACTGAGACAGTATGGGTTCCAGTCAGGCAAATCCAGACCAGGGAGGGGGTGGGGGAAAGGGGAAGAAATGACCCAAGCATTGTATGCACATATGAATAATAAAAAAATAAAAATTAAAAAAAAATCCAGACCAGGAGTCTAGTCACAGCTCTGTAAACTACATGACTTTGAATGTGAGAAATTCTCAAGCTACTCATCTGTGAAGTGGGTCTGCCAAGCCATAGCTTCTAGTAATATTGAATGTATGTACTATATAAAAAAGAAAATGAAATACTGATTAGAAAATATTAGGTATTGTTCAAGTACAGTTATCAAAAGATTATTTTCCCAATGATAAAATAAGAAACAAAATTGTCAAATATCTTGCAAATATTTGAGATATTTCAAGTCTTTGAAAGTGCTAGGCTGAAAGGACTGGGACAATGTGGGCTCCAGACAAATCCAGACCAGGAGTCTAGTTCAAGCTCCATCAATTATATGCCTATCAATGTAAGGTGTGTTTGCAAATCCCAGGCTTGTAGCAATATTGAATGTATGTATTATAATAAAAACATATGACCCAAACGTTGTCTGCACATATGAATAAACGAAAAAAAAAAATGAAATACTAAGGACTATTCATTATTTAATGAAATAGTTATCATATTACTTTATTTTATGCATTATTTTTTATTTTTCTAGTGAAATAATGAAAAAATTGTCTAATATATTGCAAATATTTGAGACCCATCAAGTTTTGAAAGCCCCATTAATTCAAAGCCTTGGCTTATAAACATTTGTGAAATAATTGCATTCCATATGACAAACAAAACTCAGACAATACCACTTTGCAGTCAAAGGTTTTATTTTCTCTTTATTTAGCATTATTTCTTGTCCAGTAGACAGAAGAGAACATTCAGAGTAATAGGATAAAATAAACATAGATTCTTGAATAAGGAAAAACATGAATATTTTATTTATGCAAAATAAATACTGCAAAGTATAAGGCAAACTAAGAATTAAACCTATTCTATAGTTGGTTTTACCTTCCCCCCATCTGTATTTTGATAGAATTACAATACTTTGGCATTGTTTCAGAGTGCCATGTTACCTAGCTATAGATAATAAACTGGTGAATTTGTTTTATAAGTATTAAAACTGTAACTTTTAAACCTGCTGAAAAGCACTGACTGAACAGGAGAGCAAAAATACTGACAAAATTAGAATGAGGCAAAATAAATATTCAATAGAATGACAAAGTTTGAAAAACTACATAAATCGATATAGCAATGTTACTCATAAAGCATGAAAAGAAATGAAGAGGTAAATTTTGTTCCCTTCAGACCATACTAGTCTCCACTACTTGGAAGACTGAGTGATCTTCAAATATAGAATAAAAACTCTAACTCAGACTCAACTAAATTTGGGTGGCCCTGTGAGACATGGCCTTGCAAGGAACCCTGGCCCTGGCAACAGTAAGGGCTCCAGTTGTAACTCTCCCTCCTGTTCTCGCTGCTTGATCTCTCAAAGCCTCATCATACAGAACAGGGAAGGCCCTGGGGACTGTATCATTGATCTTGGCCAAAATTTCCAGGACTTTCATTTTGTTGGTTTCAGCTAGGGCTCTGGAACCCCATAGGAACTCATAGCGGGGAGGATCACTGCCAAGTATCTGACGGTACTCCAGGTACTTTTCCTGCACCAAATCTTTGGTGATGAGCTTTCGAGGCTCCCCAAAGATTAAGTGCCTCTGCCCAGCATATATCCCCAAGGCATTGAGGAAATCCCATATCTCTTCCTCAGTGGCACGGTTGCCCCTCATGAAGATCACACCCAGGAGCGTCATTATGATGCCGGTCTTCGGCAAGCCCCTACTACCTTCACTAGAGAGGCCCAGCTTGCTGATAAGCATATAGTTGCTGGGGTTGACTTCCTGCACCTCAATACCAAAGACCAGCTCCATGCGCTCACAAGATTTCCTGAAGATGTCAGGGAAGTGCTGCTTGTACTTCCTGCTGACCACTTTTAGCATATCTGCCTGTTTAACAGACTCCTTCATTTTATACTTTTCCAGCAGAAACTGCACCAACATATTGGTTCTCCTGCCAAGAGGATCTCTGCGCATGCTCTGAGTGGAGGATGCCTCCTGGGAGGTGCTTGAACTTTTGTCATCTGCACCTGCCTCTGGACACTGGGCACCTACATCAGAGCATTCGCAGGAAAGACCTGCATCAGGAGAGCCACAGAGTGCTGCTCCCTGACACTCCTGGAGAGTGCAGACAACAGGTGAGCTGGAGGGAGTGCTCTCCCCAACAGGAGTAGAGGAGGGGGAAGACTCCACCTCCTCCTGTGCAGTTGCCTCACAACATGTATCCTGTCTCTCCCCAGGAGCTTGTTGACGCCTGGCGCGTAAGCGGAGTTTACTCTTCTGCCCTCTTGGCATGATGACTGGAGTCAGGGACCACAAAGCAGGACAGCTGGCAAGGCAGAAACCTGGAGGGGAGAATGACAACTTGTGAATACCATCAAGAGCAAGAGATTACCTTTATATACCCCAGATCTCCTCTGCTGGTTTCCTTGAGGAAACTTCTCTAGAAACCCACCGGGATCCTCTTCTGTTCAACTTCTGTCCTCAGAACCCTGTGAAGGAAATGAAGAGAGTCTTAGGACACTCTATGACACTGGGCTTACTGGGGCAATTTTAGGGGCTGGTAGTGACCCTTTTGATCGACACTGAGAGTTCTCTTGATTTACATTCAGGACCATCAAATTAATTCTTGACAAGGTCCTGATCACAGCTTCTGTTTGCTATTCTAACTACTATCTTCCACTACCAAGCAGGAGACAATAAAGAGCATCACTTAATTCGGGGATACCCAGGCCTCTTAGAGCTGATCAGTGGGGAAATATTTGAGGGTTTTCATTTCTTTTGGGAATGCAGCTTCCACAGTGACCAGAGTCCTTATTCTAATTGTTTGTGAGACCTGGGAATCATACGTGCTCATATGTGCCATCATCTTATAATAAATCTCCTCTCATGCCATATACTAAATCCCTCATCCCATGATTCATTCTGCAAAGCATAAAGTTAGGGAGCACTTTCATTCAGACTATCTGGACCCACACAGGATAGAGTCAGTGCCGGGATTCCATGTATCTTCCCCCACCTCCCATTGGGTTCGGCGGCATGGAATCCACCCCTCCTCAAGTCTTCAGAAACCCCACTTTAAACCTATAGGGACTGGTATTTGCCCCTCTGCTGATCCAAGTCCATTACCTTAATTACAGTAAGGCCTAGTTCCCTGAACCTCAGGGAGAGTGAATGGCCTGTGGACCTGGCATGCTGGGGACTCAGGGCACTTAATTGGGGGAGGGACCCTATGGGGCTACCTTCTCGGGGGGGCAGGCAGGTTGCAATTTTTGGGTTTCACTAAAGTTCATAGTGTTAAGTCAAGTCACCCACCAAGATTCCTGATAACGGTGGGAAGTTTCTTGTCAGCTGACTCGAAGTCACACCCCTGAAAACAAGTCAACATCCCCAGGGCAGTGCCGGAGGAGCAGAGAGGCGGAGAAACGGAAGTCAGAGCCGCCCACTTCCGCTTGCCTGGGAACCTGGTCCTCCAAATAGAACCCCAGGGGCGGGGCTGTCTGTGTTCCTTTGTTCCGGGGGAGGACGGTTCCCAGAGGAATCACAAGAGTGCTTTGCGTGGACTTTGCGTGGGCACTGGACTTCTCCCTTTGTGAGGTGAGGCAAGGCTGTCAGACCCTACAGCTCATTCATTTCCCTCAGAGTCCTGAACAGGAAGTAAGGTGGATCCCTAGCCCAGCAACCATGCCTGGGACCTTCCCAGAAGTGCCTCATGACTTGTGTGGCTCAAGAGGTAGAGTAGAGTGCTTGCTTTGCAAGTGCGAAGCTCTGAGTCAAACCCGGTTCCACCAATAAAAAAAAAAGTAAGTGCCAAACAGGCTCGTGCTCCATGGGCTCCCTCTTTGTGCAGGGTGCATTCCATCCTCCTTGTCTTATCTTGATGGGACTTTTTGTTTGCCGTGCCAGGCAATTCCTACAGCAATTTTTGCTTTGGTTTGTTTTTTAGGCAGGGTCTCCTGATTTTGCCCAAGCTAGCCTGGGACAGTGATCCTGCTACCTCTGCCTCCAGAATAGCTGGGATTAAGTGCATGCACTGCTATGCCTAGCCTTATCTTGACTTTTTGTTGGTGCTTGGCCTTCTTGGAACTAATTAGTTGTTGCCAGCCCTTCACACCCAAGACCTCAACTTCCTGAGATTCATAATAAAAAGTACTCATGTGATCTGTCTGGCTATTACTACTTGACCTGGTTGTTCAGATAAGTTGAGGTGGTGGGAGGGGTGGAGACTGTGGAGTCTTGTTTATGGTGAAATGTGGAGCCCCTCTTTCCTCACTTCAGCTTATTTTCCATTATATTTTCTAATTAGTTACAGATTTTTCTTGACTAGTTTCCTGGTTTTCTTTTCTTTCTTTCTTTCTTTTTTTTTTTTTTTGGCACCCCTGGGGTTTGAACTCAGGGTCCCTTGCTAGGCAGGCAGTCTTACTGCTTGAGCCACTCCACCATCACCTGATTTTCTTACAGTGATTTTTTTAACATGAGTTCTCTGAATTTTCTTACACATTTAAGTAATTTCTGCACTGGTTATTTTTATAATGTGCATTATTATAATTATAAATTATTGTTAGCATTATGAGTATACTCCTTGTATTACCCTCTCTTACCTTCATTTTATCTACTTCCATATCCCTTATAGTCCTTTTTTAGTTTCATGTTCTTTTCTAAATTCTACCTGTGAGAAAACATGCTGTACTTGTTTAAGTCTGGTTTATTTTGCTTAGCATGCTGATCTACACTTCCATCCATGTTTGTGGAAATGAAATAATTTCATACATCTTTATGGCTGAATAAAACTTCATATATATATCATATTTTCTTCATTCATTCATCTATTGGTTGGCACCTTGATTGTTTCCATAAATTGACTATTATGAATGGTGCTCTGATAAAGATGGTATGAAAATTTTCTTATTGTAAACTGACTGATTCTTTTTGGTGTACACTCAAGAGTGGTATAGTTGGATTATGAAGTTTGTGTTTTTAGTTTTTTGAGTAACCTCCATACTGATGGACTAATTTCCATTCTGACCAACAGTGTATAACGGTTCCCTTTTTTCCCTGTCCTTGCCAGAGTTTGTTGTGGTTTGTTTAGGTACTGTGGTGTGACACAGAATCTCACTATTGTTTGGATTAACAATTCTTTATGGTAAAACATGCTGAGCATTTTTCTATGTATTGATTGGCCATTTGCACTTCTTCATTTGAGAAGTGTCTATTTAGTTATTATTGAATGATTTGTTTTTTTGGTGTTTAATTTCTGACATCTTTATATATTCTTGATATTAATCCCTCCTTGCATTAATAGCTGGAAAAGATTTTCTCCCATTGTGTAGGATGTCTCTTTACCCTGCTAATCATCCCCTCACCCTGTAGAAGCTTTTTAGTTTGATACAATCCCATTTTTAAGTTCTTGTTATTTCCTAAGCTATTGAAGTCTTGTTGAAAAAATCATTGCCTATACCTATATCTTGAATTCTTTCCCCCATGTCTTCCTCTAGAAGTTTCAAAGTTTCATGTCTTTCACTAAGGTCTTTGGTACATTTTGGGTTGATTTTCCTATGCAGAAATAAAGATTTAGTTTCACTCTTCCACATGTGTGTAACCATTTTTTCCTGCACCATTTGTTCAAGAGGCTATCTTTTCTCAAGTTATGTTTTCGGTATCCTTGTGAAGAATCAGATGGTACACGAATTATTTTTTAGAAAATTAGATCTGTTACCACTGGTATCTCTTTTTCATTATTCTTGACTTGTATTTACTTTGATATACTTGTATTTGAATACTACCTATGTGTTTTCATCTAATTGTCAGTAGTAGAGTTGATGTCATATCCCTGTGATTCTTCTGGACTCTACCTGGAATGCTTGTATTGTTTCACATTCTTTGTGTATTTTATGAAATGGAAATTTTTCCCTAATGTAGTTTTTCTAAAAGTTATGATCATGAACAGATTATGGGAGTTTTTAGGAAGGCTTTTTTATTTACTGTTGCACATGATCACATGTGTTTTCACCTTTTTTTTGGTAACTGATTTTTACCTATGATGTCATTGTTGTTTTCTTTGGACAAAACTTATTTTTCATAAATTCAGTGCTATATTGGATGTACCATGAATTTATTTAAAATATTTTGTCTCTGTGTGAATAAGTTATCTCAAGTATTATTTTATTGGGGTATGGTCATTTGGTCTTCATAGCTAGGAAAGCTAACCTGTTACAGTGGCTTAGTAATTCCTCATCTCTTTTGTATTATTAGGAAGCATTTATGTGAGGTCATGATTTGTTTTTTCTTTAAATGTGATATAATGGGCCTCTCCAAAAATGGCTGGTCCTAGTATATTTATGGTACCTTGGGTTTGGACTAGTTTCATTTTCTATTGTATAGTTGAAGAGTTCTGTTTCTTTGTGGACCTTTGTGCTCATTCTCATTTTGCTAAAAATTTCATTTTACTTTGGGTTTTTGTTTAGAAGAATGATATTTGTTTATTTATTTATTCCTTCCTTCCTTCATTTACATATTGGTGGGACTGGTATTTGAACGTAAGGATTCACACTTGCAAAGTAGGCACTCTGCTCCTTGAGCTACACCTCCAGTCCATTTTGCTCTAGTTATTTTGGAGATAGGCATCTCACAATCTTGCAAACTATTTGCCCACGTGGTCTTGAATCATGATTTTCCTGATCTCAGCCTCCTAAGTAGCTAGAATTATAAGTATGAGCCACCAGTACCTGGCTAGAAGCATGATATTTATAATAAAATGTTCTTAGTGTAAAAATTCTCACATACATGCAGTAGTACAGAGAATAAATTATCTAATTACCTGACATTAATCAGCAATCCTCATTTTATCAAGAAGAATTGTGTTCATATTAAAGTTTGTTTGTTTATTGGTAGTGATACTCTCCTGTTGACACGGCACTCTTTTAGACATTACCTGATATCTGCTGTCTCTTTTGTGGTGATGTTGGCAGCAGTGACCTCTATCCACTAGTCATTTAGGGTCTTCAGGGTGGTAATTCTCTGATTCTAAATTTGCTTAAGTTTATTACTTGAAATTCTTTATTTAGAAACTTTTCATTTTCTACCATTTATTATCTTGATGTGTGACTAATACTTTTTTATTGTGTTCCTTTAGTAGCATTAAATTCTTTCTGCCCCCAAAATCTCTACAATTATATTTACCTAATATCATTTATTTTGGATTCTTTCATTTGTAATTAATAATACTTATAAAATTGTACATATAAAACATTCGTTGAACTGGCTTTTACTATTTGACTCTACTATTTTCTAATTCA